TAGTGTGTTCACAAAGTCCTGCCACCATCACCACTGTCTAATTTCAGGACGTTTCCATCGCTGGGGAAAGAAACCTCATACTCATTAGCGCTCACTCCCCATTGTCTTGTCCTGTGTCCCCGCAGCCCTTGGCAATCACTTGTATTTATTTTCTGTCTCTGTGGATTTGCCTGTTTTTGACATTTCATATAAGTGGAATCCTATAACATGTGGCCTTTTTTGTCTGGCTTCTTTCCCTTAGCGTATTTTCACAATTGATCTGTTACAGTGTGGATCAGTACTTCATTCTTTTTTATGGCTAAATAATATTTCATTGTATGGATATACCACATTGTGACTATGGACATTTGGGTTGTTTTCACTTTTGATTATTATGAATAATGCTGCTATGAACATTTGTGTACAAGTTTTTGTGTGGCTGTTTGTTTTCAGTTCTGTTGGGTATATACCTAGGAGTAGAATTGCTGAGTCATGTGGTAATTCTATGTTTAACTTTTTAAGGAACTACCAAACTGTTTTTCACAGCAATTGCACCATTTTACATTCCCCCAGCAATGTATGACAGTTCCAGTTTCTCACCAGCACTTGTTATTGTTTGTTTGATTATAGCCATCCTACTGGGTATGAAGTGGATATCTCAGGGTGGTTTTGATTTTCATTTGCCTAATGAGTAATAATGTGAGCATCTTTTCATGTGTTTATTGGCTATTTGTATATCTTCTTTGGAGAAATATCTATTCAAATGCTTTGCCTATTTTTGAATTGCATTGTCTTTTTATTGTTGAGTTGTAAGAGTTCTTTACATATTTTGGATGCTAGACTGTTATCAGATATATGATTTATAAAACTTTACTCCCATTCTGTGGGTTGTCTTTTCACTTTCTTGATAGTGTCATTTGAAGTACAGAAGTTTTTAACTTTGATGAAGTCCAATATTTTTGTTTTCTGATTATTTGTGCTTTTGATGTCATAGCTGAGAAATCACTGCCTAATCCAAGGTCTTGAAGATTACACCTATGATCATTTTGAGTTAATTTTTGTATGTGATATAAGATAAGGGTCCAGCTTCGTTCTTTTGCATGTGGATATCCTTTCGTGCCAGCACTGTTTGTTGAAAACACCATTCTTTCGCCATCGAATTTTCTTGCTGCCCTTGTCAAAAGTCGATTGACCATACGTGTGAAGGATTATTTCTGGGCTTTCTATTCCGTTCCATTGGTCTCTATGTCTATCCTTATGCCAGTACCACACCATCTTGATTACTGTAGCTTTGTGGTAAAGCTTTGAAATCAGGAAGTGTGAGCCCTCCAACTTTGTTCTTCTTTTTCAAGATTGTTTTGGCTATTCGAGGTCCCTTGACGTTCTTTATGAGTTTTCAGATCAGCTTGCCAATTTCTGCAAAAAGGGCAGCTGGAATTTTAATAGGAATTGTATTGGACCAGTAGATCAGTTTGGAGAGTACTGCCATCTTAACAACACTAAGTTGTCCAGTCTATGAGCATGGGATGTCTTTCCATTTATTCAGGTCTTCTTTCAGCAACGTTTTGTAGTTTTCAGTGTACGAGTCTTTCGCCTCCTTGGTTAAATTTATTCCTAAGTATTTCATTCTTTCCGATGCTATTATAAATGGAATTGTTTTATTAATTTCATTTTTGGATGATTTGTTGCTGGTGTATAGAATACAATTTATTTTTGTATATTGATCTTGTATCCTGCAGCTTTGCAGAACTCATTTATTGGTTCTAGTAGTTTTTTAGTGGATTCCTTATGATTTTTTGTGAACAAGATATATCATGTGCAAAGAGAGAGTTTCACTTCTTCCTTTCCTTTGTGGATGCCTTTTATTTCTTCTTCTTGCCTAAGTGCTCTGGCTAGAACCTCATATGTTGAATAGAACCTATGTTGAATAGAAGTGGTAAGGGCAGAAATCCTTGTCTTGTTTCTGATATTAGGAGAAAAGTTTTCAATCTTTCATCCATTGAGTACAATGTTAGCTGTGGGATTTTCATAGATGCCCTTTATCAGGTTGAGAAAGTTTCCTTCTGTTTCTTGTTGGTTTAATGTTTTTTGCGTGAAAGGCTATTATAGGTCTTTTATGCATTGTTCCTGGTTTTTCTTCTTTGGAGAGAGAAATTTGTGCACTCATAAAATTCTAGAAAAAGTGAGTATCTTAAGTTGCACTAAGGGCAAGAATGCAGGTAAGCCTCAGGAATAATTGAAACCAGGGTTGAAAATGCTACCAGGACTCTATCTGCATTCTCTCAATGCAGATTAATGTCTGAATTGCAGGAAAATCTGGCCTCTGCTACACCCAGATTTACTTGTTATGGGTTTCCACTATAGCAGAACGTGTGACTCTTAGTTTCAGTTTTGACTTTGGCTTGGTATAGATCAGTTGATTATCTCTGAACCAGTCAACTCTGGAAAGAAAAGCTAAGTGCTGTGATTAGTCCAGCATGGACCAGGTGTCAGCTCTAGATGAACCTGCTGTGGCTTGGGGAACATATTTGTTCCCCCAAAGCCATGTGCATGAGGGAATTTGTTCCCAGACTGGATGTTGAGGAGGTAATCCCGTAAATATTCTCTAGAAGAGTGTATCTATCAGCATATAATATAGTTGCTTCCTATCGTTATTTTAGAGAGGATATTAGATGAATTAACTTATCTAAAGAAAAATTTGCCCTCATTTTTCTTAGACTTTATAAAAAATGAATCGAGCAAAAACCATATGCTGCTTTCATGCCTTTGAACTTTAACTCTGGTTTTTGCACCTGTTTTCCTTTGTGCACAGGATGTTACAGTAGAAGCTGAATAGGATTCTACAGTGCAGTTAATTTTAAAACATCACTGTCTTACTGCATCCATTTTGGAAGTAAGATTAAACTTTTCTATTGTAACTATATTGACTTTTTAGAGGTAGTTATAAACTGAAATGATCAAGATTTGGTGATGTATTCAGCTAGGAATAATTCAGAAATAATTAAAAGCTCATGTGCTAACCATTCATTAAAGAAAAAATTAGTATAGAGTACTTTCTCTGTGCTGGGCACTGCTCTAGGAGCAGTGATAAAACCGTGAATGGGACAAACATAGTCCCTCCTCTTATGAAGCTTATAACCTTATAGTCTCTCTTTTTCTATTAGTTTCCAAAACATAACCTCTAGGGCCGGCCCCTGGCTTAGCGGTTAAGTGCGCGCCCTCCACTGCTGGCGGCCTGGGTTCAGATCCCGGGCGTGCACCGACGCACCACTTCTCTGGTCACGCTGAGGCCGCGTCCCACATACAGCAACTAGAAGGATGTGCAGCTATGACATACAACTATCTACTGGGGCTTTGGGGGGGAAAAGATAAATAAAGTTGATCTTTGCTCACGGTGTATACCGTTTAAAAAAAAACAAAAAAAAACATAACCTCTAAACCAGTATTCTGTTGGTTTTCAAATTATCTTCCAGTGAAACAGTAGTGTTTCACAAACTAGACAGAAGTGTTTGTGCTGCTGTAGTCTTTCCCTAGTACCTGTAAAATAGGTTTCAATAAGTGCCCGATCCTATTGGAAGATAATGGCGGCTTAGATCTTTATGTTGAGGAGGTTGGGCTTGGTGAGAAAAGATTCCCACTTAGATTAGGAATGCCTTTCTTATGATTGGGACAAGGGCAGCACCATGCTTCTGTGTGTTTTCAGTCCGGGGGAGAAATGATGATGGTTTGAATCAAAGTGATGGTAGTAGAGATGGAGAGAAGTGGACGGTACTTGATGTATTTTAAAGCTAGTGTAACATGACTTGCTAATGGATTGGATAGGTTTCTGGTTTGAGCAACTAGATAGATGGTGCATTGGGAAGCCACAGCAAGGTGTTAAACAGGGGAAGGACATGATCTGATTTTTATTTTACAATGATAGTATTGGCTGCTGTGTGGGAAATGGGTTAGGCTTGTGGTGATAGCAATGATGAAAGTAGAGGAATAGGTTACAAGGTTATTGCTGTAGGCCAGATAAGAGATGAGATGGCTTAGACGAGGGAAGAGAAAATTGAAAGGAAGAAAAATGGAAAAATAGGAGATAGACTGGAGCTGGAATCAATAAGAATTGCTGTTGAATTGGACAAGAGGAGGGTGAGAAAAGATGACAGGGAAGAATCAAGGATGACCTGTAGATTTCTGGTCATTAACTCTGCCAGTGATGGCAGCATTTACTAAAAGGGGGAATTCAGAGGATAGATGTGGGGAGAACTAATTGAGAGAGAGGGGAATCAAAAGTTCCATTTTGGACATGTTTAAGTTTGAAATATTTTTATGAGTCTTCTAAGGTGATATGTCAAGCAGATAATTGGCTGTATTGGAGTTTGGAGTTCAGAGGGAAAGGTCTGGAATAGAGACGGAAATTTGGTGGTATTCAAAATAGTATTTAAAGCTGTGAGAGTGGGCAGATCATCTAGGGGGAGAGGAGTCAGCAATGGAGATTCAAAAGGAGGCACTGCTGAGGGAGAAAAAAAGAAAGGAGAGACTAGATTGCAATAGCCAACAAAGAAAATTCAGGGGCTGGCCCCGTGGCGTAAAGGTTAAGTGCACGTGCTCTGCTGCTGGCGGCCCGGGCTCGGATCCCGGGCG